GGTTTTTCAGGTTGACTTTTCGTTGTCCAATATGTGCCATCTATAAGTGTTTGCCTGTTTATTTCAAATAATTCTACCTGCTTTTGAATATTATTTATAATTCCCACAGACTTAAAAGCATTCATCTTGAAAAGTTAAAAGATTTTTAGAGTGTGATATCCATTATTACTATAAAAAAATGTTATGAATAATTACAATTACTAAAAATGTTTTAAAATCAACCATTATTTTGCTTTTTGTGAGCATCCAGCAGTTTCAGAGCTTCTTCTTTTTTCGAGCTATTAGCCAAATGAAATACATAAGCCACAATAGCCAGTGAGTATGGGTCATTTTTAATTTCTTCCAGGTGTTGCTCCAAATAATGCTGTGCTTTTTCATTTCGAACCTGAAGTACTTGATATAAAATTTGCAACAAGGAATTATTTAAAAAATATATGCCTGACTTGGAATATAATCAAAAATGAGTTAATTATTATTAATTAATTAACCCCATTTTCAAGTAAAGCAGCATATACATATGCAGTAAGAGGTACGCCACCTTCCGCAGCACCACCTTGCATTCCTTTGTGATGAATTTCGCCTCTTTCTGCGAATGCACCATTTTCCTAAATAAGTGAATAAATAAGCTATATATATGTACAGTAAAGAAATTTATGTTTATACAGTTCATTCGTTATCAAAATAATTTTATCATAACTGACTCGAAAAAATCTGTAAAATACTTTTAACTTACTTGTTGTTGTTGTGAGTTAAGAAATGCGATAGAACTTTTGATTACGCTGTCATCAACAAATATAAACTTTTGTGCTTGTTTGAATGATCGAACAACAAATGCTGTAAGCCACGTTGATCCATGCTTATCACTTTCACCAAATGCGGAAAATGAGTGGTCGGATCTCCTGTGATACAAGCAATAATTCACTTAAGATTAACATGACTGAGAATGCTAAGTAAAGCAAAGTACAGCCGTGTCAAATACAGAGTTGTTACAAGATTTAAAATTACAGAAAGGTTTTGCCTAAATAGATGTGATTTTAGTGTAAGTATAAAGTAAGACCTATAAGTAAGTTCGCGCTGATAACCTGATTCCATATATTTCTTAGCCTTTGCCTCTAATCCACTTCTTGACTGCTTGGTAACTTTTAAGTAGCCGAGTACAGCAATATTTGGAACAAAATTTATCATATTTTGTTCACCACAACCGTAAGGCATACGTATAAGAGAGTTCAAGTTAGCAAGTGCTGGACCCATTAAGTCCCCTGAAATATTACATTATACTTGGCTATTATTGACGGTAGTTATTGACTTAACTTTGATAGTTACTATTAAAATATGCCAAATAAAGTTATTTTGACAGTAAATTGGCTAATTTGGTCCGCATAACTGTAAAATATTCAAATCATCTAATCTTGCTAGTGAAGTTATTTGACTGCTTTATTTGCACATTATATCTTAAATATCTTTGGAGAGTTTTTAAGTATTCATAAATAACTTTCTAAGCATAGTGAATAACTGTGTACTGGTCAAATTTCACTCTAATAGTTTGATATTAACATTAAAATAGTAGTACAAATTAAAATTATGGTTCAATTTTGGCTTGAATTATAAAATTGTGTGGAGATATGCCACATAGAGAAAGCTTAAGTTACAACATTACAACTATAATTTCAGCAAAGTACTAAATGCTAGCATAGTGCTTTTTTAGCATTTAAAAGTTAAGAAGCAAAAATTTATAAATCCAAATCAAGAAGTATATTTATGAGTACGCACCAATTACATCGAATCGTGCCATCTTTGATCCTTCAACAGCATCTGATGGAAATTGCATTGCAATAGACTTGCTAATTTCCGAAGTTGCATTTTTCTGAGTTAGGTCAATAACAACAGGCACGTTTCTATCCACTCGATATCCTTCTGGCTACAAAAACATATCAAATTTTTAGTTTTCAATTCATAACCTCTTATTCATAAATATGTGCTATATTGATTGATAATATCAATCAATAAATATAGCACATATTTATGCATATA